ATCCCCGCTTTAAGCTGCCTCACCACCTCGTGAAACGACTGCCCTAACGGATCATCCATTGACGAGGACGCAGGGGCTACAGTGGAGACTCTACGTAACCCGTCTCCTACTGTAGCGCCCGCCTTTTTCAGCCCTCCACCAATCGCCTTGCCGAATCCAGCTGCCATGTTCATAGGGTTCCCCATCCCTCCTCCCCCGCCTCTTGCTCCCCCTGCTCCCGCTCCCGCCCCCCCTCCCCCTCCGCCTCCCCCTCCCCCTCCGCCTACCCCTCCCCCTCCGCCTCCTCCGCCCATCCTACTACCTCCAGCACTTGCAAGCCCTGAGCCCTGCCCCTGCCCCTGCGCCTGCCCCTGCCCCAACCCTTGCCCTTGCTGTCTGCTGCCGCCGCCGCCGCCGCTGCTGCTGCCGCTACGTCCGGAGCTCCTGCCGCTGCTGCTTATATCGAAATCAAACTCGTCGTCCTCGCTATAAGCCCCCCGCTTCACAAACTCGAATGATTTTGGCTTTAACTGCTGCCTGCCGCCGCCGCCCCTGGCGCCTGTACCTATATCGAACTCATCATCCTCGTTATAAGCTCCCCTCGACTCAAACTCAAAAGACTTATGCTTTCTCTGAGACAAATGCTGAGTCTGAACCCTAGAACTGCCAGGGTTGCTCCCTCCGCCTCCTACCATCCCTCCCAACCGCACTCCACCCCCGCTTATAACCCTCCCGGAACTTCCCACCCCATCTGACCTCCCGCTCTTCGCTTCCCCATGGAAACTTTCTAGGGCAGCCAAAAAATCATTCTGCCCGGCGCCCCCATCCCCCATGCCCCCTCTTCCGGGCATCAGATTTGCGGCTGTAATGACCCCCCCCGAAGCAGCCTTCCCGTCCCCCGCGCCCCGCCCAAACCCCCGCCCGCCCCTCCGCCCCTGCTTTCCCCGCGCGCGAGCTGCGCTTGTCGCGCGGAGTTCTGCGCCGAGCTTCTATGGAGCGGGCTTTTAGCGAAATCCCTCGCCAGCGCGCCTCCGCCTCCGCCTCCGCTTCCGCTTCCGCCTCCGCCCCCGCGACTGCTCCCCCCCGCTTCCCCCACCGCGGAAAACCCATCCGCCCGCGCACTCCCCCCCGCCTCACGCCCGCTCGCCCTCTCGCTGCCCGATTTTTCCAACAAGACACTATCCAGGGCATCGTGGAAGGCTGTGATTGGCCGGCGCGCCGATGACGTGTCACCGGGTTGCAGGGAGATAGTTCGGCGCAGCCCTTCCCCCAATCCTCCGCCAGCCGTTGCGCCGCCTAGGGTTCCGCCGAGACCTCCCCCGGGCCCTCCCCCCGCCCTCAGGTTCCCCGCGCGGCCACCGCGCATGGGGGAGAGCGCGTGCGCCATATTCTTTAGGGCGGATCGGGCAAGGCCGCCGCCGCCGCCACCACCACCGGTCTGTCCCTGCTGCTGCCGAAGGTTCGCGAAAGCCCGGTCGTCGGATGCACTCCAAGATTCAGATCCTGCGGTTCTCCTGCCTCCTCCTGCGGATTCCCTCGCTCCTGATTGGTCGAAACTGAAGGCCCCATGCCCCTGCAGCGGCTGCTGCTGCGGTGCGTGTCTTAGTCTATCCTCGATATCGTCCTCCCCGTCATCCGATAAAAACATGTCCAGTATCGCGGTTTTCGATTCCACAGAGTGCGTTCTGCGCAAACCCGCTCCGCCATCACGGTTGCGCGCAAGCCCCCCTCCGCCTCCCCCTAAGCCGCCCAGGCGCGCGTTCCCCTGACCCGCTGTTCCGCCTAACTCGGTTCCCCCCTGCCCCTTCCGCCAACTGGGCGCGGCCTCCATCCGCACAACTGCGCCTACGCCTTCCCCCGCGCTGGACACGCGCAGCACTCCCCCCACCCCTTCCGCTCCGCCACCCCGGCCAAACCCAGTGAAACTTCCAGGCGGGGGGGTGCGGGAGCGGAGATCAAACGGCGGGTTTCTCGGCGATTGGGGAATCCGCGCTCCGCCTCTGCCGGTGGGGGTTGCGCTTGCGCTTCCGCCCCCGCGCCCCCGGGGAGAGCGCAACACAGGCCTCTCGCCGTTCCGCGCGCCCCTGGCGCTGCTAGTGCGCCCTTCATCCTCGCTCATTGCGCCTTCCGACCAGAATCCGCTCCCCCTTCCGCGCGCGCTCCCGCTTCCGCCATCGCCTCCCGCGGAACTTGCGGGAATTCCGGCAGACGAGGGCCCGAAATCCGCTCCGGGGACCAAAGTAGTGACTAAACCAGGAGTAACCCCGTTTCTGTCACACCAAGAAGCGATCAGATCCCTTAAAGCCTGATTCGATAGAAGATGCGTATGCTCTAGCCGATCGCCGGTCTTCGGGCAGGTCGTGTGACCTTCGTCGAACCATCGCTGGATAGCGGCCCGTTCGTACGTCTGACCAGATGCAACGATCGCAGGATCTGACATGAGTTGTAACGACAACGGGCAAACGAACTCCGGCGGAACTTCCAGATGCGAGTCAACTGCTTCGGCCGCAGCAGCGGCGGCAGCGGCAGCCGCCGCCGCTGCACGCTTCAACACGAACGAGTCTGACGGAAGAAGGATTTTCATGCTCGGCCGGTTAGGTGGACGGCCGGCACGCCCGTCACTCCCTTTCGGTAATGGCATCATTACCGTCGACGTTAATAAATTAATAAGTTATTAGTTGATATTACTTCTGGAAACGCGGATTGTTGGACTTTGTGGCCGTCCGAGTCTCGACAGATTCGACATGTGGTGCGCATGTAGGAGGAAACCCTAATTTAGCGGTCTGTCGCATACAAGTAACAGAAGTCTTTCGACCGTAATCTGGAAAATTGCTGCTTGCTCGCTCGTATGCCAAAAAATCATTGCTGCAGCAGAGCCTGCTCTCTCTTTACTGCTGCCGAACAGGGCGAAAGCGGGATTTGGTTCGGCTTGGGTGGGCGAACGTGCGAACAATGAGCGACGGCGACTGAGGCAAAATCCCAAGGCAACCCCAACTCACGAACAAGGCAACCCCGACAAACGTCAGTTATACGACGGTTAAAAGAGTGCGACGGTGTGCGACCGTTATATGGGCTTCGCCAACCGTTTGTTTGACTGCCAGATGCCGATTCAACTCGTACACCTTCTCGACACTGATTGCATCGACGAAGGATTCCTTGCCACCGACCTCGCTATGAACTTGTGGACACGTTCTTCCGAGCGACTTGCGACTACTGTCGCCCCAAGGTTTGGTCCAAAATGGAAAGCTAGGAACAACAGTGGTTGGCAGCGACTGAGGTCTGGGCAGAAGCGACACGGAACGAAGGGGCTCGGGTTGCGGTTATCAGTGGGAAACAAGGGGAACAGCGGAGGTAGGGATAAGGAATGCTCCGGAAAGTGAACAATGGCGGGCGAGCGGCGTAGAATGGCGCAGACCCAGGTATGGCAGGCGGAGAAGGCGGGAGCTTGGATCAAGCCCCCGAGCCAACAGTTTTCAGGGGAGGGGAGGGGAGGTGTGTCAGGGTAGCGGAGGAAGTTCCCGAGTCAGAGGAATCTTCGGCGGGTCTTTGGCTTGGGGTTCTTGGGAAGTCCGGCTCGGTTTTCCACAGAACCTACCAGATCGCCAGGTTTCGGCGCCAAATAATAACCCAAGGCAAGCCGAGGCTTGCGGAGGGGTCACTTCATCCTGTACTAGCCTGGTTTGAGTGTGCTGGGCGTGGTCGAGATTTTTCGCCACCATACCTGATCAGGTCGAATTTGGGGGGTGTGGCGGCACGGCACTTTCTCCAAACCACAGAGCCTCACCTGGCTTTCGTTACCAGCACGAACGAAAAGAACATCTGAGGAATGGGTGAGTTCGGTTCCGCATGACAGCTTGCTGTTACATAGCTGAATTTCAAATCCCTCTTGTAAGCAATTCAGGTGTTGGAAGATCTTTCATTCTCTTGCCACATACGGCAGCCCATAGGGGGATATATGCCAATCATGCACGTCTGTTAAAAAAAAAACAACACACACACACATATCCACTCACCTTTATGGGAATCCATCATTTGGAGTTCGTGCCCTTCCTCGGTTCCATCATGCACCACAAACTTATACCACAATGCTATTCAAGGGAGCAACAAAGAGCTAGGCCCAGACCTTCCATATATTTACAATGACGTAATTGTCGATCCCCCCCACCCCCCCCCCACAAATCCAAGCTTGGCAGCGTGAATGGTCATGTCACGCAAATCCACCATGCTCCACCCCCCCCCCCCCCCATCCCCACGTCGCTTTGTCTCTACCCGAGCCAAACACGGTTTTTCAAACAGAACAGAACTCGCCTACATGCTCCTGCTTCACCACACCTCAGCCACAACCAGCCAGGACCAGCCACGACCAGGTTGGAGGCACAAGCCTGCCTCCACGCTCCTCCTGTGCCCGAACAAGCACACATGCCTTAAATTCGACTCCAATTCGAAACCAGGCCCCATACTCTTCCCGAGATCCTCGCGAGTTCGTCCCGAATTCCTCCCGTGTCCCTGTTGAGTCAGATCTGGCTCCAGCATTCCACTCGCCACCACTCCCGAGAATTTTCCGGGAGGCTTCAGCTCCAGCAGAAACTGCTTCCAGGCTTACTACTCAAAACCAGCACCCATACTCCTCCTGAACTTCTCCCGTGTCCCTGCTGAGGCAGACCTGACTCCAGCAAGGATACCTTCCACTCGCCTGCACTCCCCTGACTTTTTGAGCCACCTCAAAAACTGTTTCCAGGATTACCACTCAAAACAAGCCCCCATACTCCTCCAGGGTTCTTCCTGCTGAGTTAGATCTGACTTCAGCAATGATACCTTCCACTTGCCACCACTCCCGAGAATTTTCCGGCACCTCAGAAACTGCTTCCAGGCTTACTGTCCACTCGCTAGCACCCCTGTGACTTTTTGGAGCACCTTTTTGAAGCACCACTCTCCACCGCTCCCGAGATTTCTTTGCACCTCAGAAACTGCTTCCAGGCTCACTGCCCACTCGCCAGCACTCCTGTGACTGATGAGGCGCCTCAAGCATCGCCCCTGGGAATGCATTCCCATTCGCCACCCCCCAGCATTCCTGCTAGCCTCCCAGCTTCTCCGCTCGTTTCTGAATCCCTCTCCCTCCTTTCCTCCCTCTCTTCTCTTTCTTCAGTCTCTTCCCTTACCTCTATGTCTTCCTTCTCCTCCCTCTCCTTCCTCTCTGCCCTCTCCCCCATCTCCACCCTCCTCTCCATCCCCACCCTCTCGTCCCTCTCGTCCCTCTCGTCCCTCTCATACCTCTCGTCCCTTTCCTCAATCTCCTCCAACTCCCCCTTCTCGCCCCTCTCCTGCTTCTCCCTTTCCCCCTTCTCCCCCCTCACATCCTGCTCCGCCCCAGGACTACCCTCCCACTCGTTTGCCTCCACTGGCTGAGAAGAAGTTGAAGAAAGGCCATGCGGTGAGGATGACATTTGAGCCACCTCGAAACTCACTTCAGGACCACCTTCCCCTTCATTTTCCTTAACCGGTTGAGCATTGGGACGCGGAGAGGGAGGGGGAGGGGACGAGGAGGACGCTTGCGCATCTGCAGGGCGAGGGGGATGGACCTGAAGAGGAGGAGGAGGAGGAGAAGGAGGAGGAGGAGGAGGAGGAGGAGGAGGAGGAGGAGGAGGAGGAGGAGGAGGAGGAGGAGGAGGAGGAGGAGGAGGAGGAGGATAGTGGTGGTAAGGTGGAGGGGAGAAGTAGTGATGCTCATATGGGTGGTGGTGGGGATAGGGGTCGTGAGAGGGGTGGGGATGGTGAGGGGGAGGAGGGAGAGGGTGAGGGGAATGAGGGTGGTGCGGAGGCGGTTGGAGCGGGGGAGGGTGGTGAGGGGGTGGGTGATGAGGAGGGGGAGGGTGATGAGGAGGAGGAGGTGGGTGGTGAGGAGGGTGGTGGTGAGTAGGAGGGGGAGGATGGTGAGGAGGAGGAGGGTGGTGTGGAGGGGGATGGTGAGGAGGAGGAGGTGGGTGGTGAGGAGGAGGAGGGGGGTGGTGAGGAGGAGGAGGAGGTGGGTGGTGAGGAGGGGGAGGGTGGTGAGGAGGGGGAGGGTGGTGAGGAGGGGGAGGGTGATGCGGGGGAGGGTGGTGAGGTTGCGGAGGGTGATGAGCAGGAGGAGCGGCAGGAGGAGAATCACCCCCTTGCTTCAGAAACTCGGACTCCAGAGCGTGAGGCGAGTGCAGAGAGGCCAAAGGGGGAGGAGGAAGTGGGGGAGAAGGCGACGCAGCAGTAGCACCTGCAGGAACTCCTGGGGCCACTCCTGTGGCCTCTCCAATCCCCCCAGTCCCTCCAAATTGTTCAGTCTGAGGCAGGAAGAGCAGCAACGATTCGGACAAGTCAAGAAGTGCTGATTCCAGATTGCCTGCTGTTTCTGCTGCCTCACCGGCAACTAAATCCTCCCAGCTGCCCTCCTCTTCGCGAGAACTGGTAACCTGCCTCGCAGCTTGGCTTGTAACATGGCCTGTAGCATGGCTCGAAGTGCGAATAGACTGATTTTCACTCCCTACTGCATTAGCCGCACTCCCACCCCCAACCGTCCTCTGCCCACTCCCATCCTTCCCGTCTGCCTGCTGCTGATAAGGCTGCAGCTGAACCGTCTGCAGCATGCTCCGTTCAACAGAGAAACGATATACGCGAGAGAGATTTGCTACAACACGCGAAACACGGGCTCCTGAAGACGACCCCTCCGATCCCATCCCCCAAAGCTCCAGCCTTCCCCCGCTGTCATCCACCACCACAACAGGCACCCCTGACTTGGTAGTGGCCGATTCGTTTGTAGCTTGATTAGAATTAAGCGGCTCGACATTGACACGTTGAACATTTGCAGCTGAATTAATATTTCCGGTAGGCTGGTTGGTGCTTGAAGAGGGACAAGGGGTTGACGGAGTTGATGAGGCTGCAGGGGCTGAAGAGGCTGAAGGGATCGAAGAGGCTGACGGAGATGAAGAAGCTGACGGAGATGAAGGAGCTGACGGAGATGAAGGAGCTGACGGAGGATTTGGACGAACGCTGAGTTGCTCTTGCTCCTTTCGCTGTGGCTGTCTCTCCAGGTGCGGCTGTTCCAGCTGCTGTGGCTCAGCTGGATTGTTTCCGTCCTTCTCACCTGCTACAGCTGAAAAGCCAGCAGGAGACAAAACACAGAGCTGGCTTCAGTGCTAATATCACCATCAGATTCTTTCTATCACGATCAGGAATAGTAGGGTCAAAACAAATAATACGTTACTATGATACCTGTACATGCACGCGGTAACATTGCTCTAGAACGATACAAAAAACATTACCTATTGCATCTTGAGTAGTAGAAGCTGGTAGTGACGGGAGCTCAGGAGCGTCTGAGTTGGAATTAGTCCGATCTGACTGAATTTGACTCGAGGTGACTCCAGCATGCTGCGTTGCCACGTTAAATTCCAGTGAAGCCGGATCTGATCACACAGAAAGCACGAGAAGGGAAACCACGTTACATCAAAGAAAATGATCCATCGCACTGAGAAAGAATGACCGCAGAAAGACTTAACCGGAGCAAGCCAGCAAGTGTCAAATTCGCATCAACCCAAGCACGCAAAGAAACAGGCCTGATATATTTAAGGAGAAACTACAGAAGCCTTATTAATAATTAAAAAAACGGACTAAAATCACGAAGCATGGAATAATAGCTTGCCTTCGGAGCTGGACCTGAGTCCAAACGACGGCATCTTCAAATCCAATGAATCGACGGACTGTATGGCACGGATCTGGAGCTTTCAGGGCCCCATAGATTGGAGGAACAACAACTCTAGGCTGTCAGTGGAAATAAATTCTTATGACTTCGAAACCAGCTAACAATTTTCCGCGGTAGACTATCTATTAGAGTGCATTCCAGCAGATTACACAACAGCCTTTCCAGACAGGTTGTCACAATAACCTAGAGAACGGAATTTCATTAGCCTAGCACGGGACTCCACTATGGTCTAGTCTAGCTGACAGGGATCTCCTAAGGGCGTGTAAAATTGTAACGACCAAACCCATTTTCCGCCCTTTGCGCGTTTCTGGCGATTGCGAAACGATGTAACGCGTAAACGATCCCCGTCACGATTTTCGTGAGCGCGTGGGGCATCCGCCGCAAACCATCCTCGTTATTGAAAGCAAAATTTTTATTCTTCCTACTGCTTTCGAACGGGTTAGGAATTAAGGGGGCTCGGGAGCCTAGACCAGTTTGTTTAACAAAACATTAAGCTTAGGCATCACAAAGTTTTTTCCCTCGCTGAGAAAACATGCCTACGAAGGTCTCAAAATGCAGTGCGACTAGTTTCTATGCAGAGTACCCCTGATATCTGGTTAAAACGGGGTGACTACTCTAAACGGCGTAACCCTAATTTCTCGCAATCGCCAGATACGCCCAAATGAGCGACCATAGCGTTTGGTCGTTACAATTTTACACGCCCTAATACAGAAAATGAAGCAGGCTGAGATTTCATTTTTCTCAAGCAGGCAACCTAGGCCTCAAGGGTATGCGAGGGGGAGCGAGCTGACGACTAGCGAATGTCGTTGGCTGGTGTGGCGATGAGCTGACAACCACTGCGAAGAGCCTGTTCTTGTGTCGAAAGCGCACGTAATTAATCGCTGTGGTTACCATGCTGACATTCATTGACAGGGCTGATGGAAGCTGCGAGGAGGACCACTTGACGTGTCGGTGACGCCATTCGATCCGCGAAACCGGAGGAATTTGCGAGATCCCTGCCACCACTTCGGAACCAACCCAACCCAACACAACCTCTCATCTAACCAACCTTGAGAGGTTCGCGAAGGCCCTAGCGGTCTGCTTCGGCAGCAAACGGTCGTTTCCAAAGGCACCCCTGGAATGGAAGGCATGTCAATATCTCACTCTCGTGAAATTTAAAATGGTGCTGTACGTTTTTACACGGTTGATCTTACAGAGAACACGGTTGAGAAGAGTTATGAGCGTTAATGTTGTTCTTACAGCACCCTAATTCCGTTTCCCCTCGCATTTCTTCTTGACTACATAGCTTCTCACAAATTTCTCAGCGAGGAATCCTCACACATCTTTACGTCTCTGTTGCCGCTTGTTGCTAACCAGATTTGACAGCCAAGTTAGTCTGACGAGATTCACGTGATTAACATATATTTCCACTTAGTTCCGAATGTAGGGTCGGACGCCGTATCCATGGTTTGTGAACTGTTACCGCTACTAGCATAGATGGTACCTCGGAACGATTACGGGGAATGGTGTGGGAGTGCGATCCCTGTAGAGGAAACGCACCATCGCCAGTCCGAAAATAGCTCCGCTTCTAGGCCTGATGAACTATCGTCCAGGTTCATGCCAACACAAACCGTGTTGCCGAATGAAGACATTCTGCCGAATGAATCACTAGCACCAGTGTCTCCAGTCTTTAATCCGCTCTACGTAGGATCGTCAACTGAAGCCGTTCCCATCCATTGGCGTCAAGGGCCGTACCCCCAACCGGGTTCCACCGCACGATACCTGTATCCTTCACTTACCCCAGACGTACGACCTTCCGCTGACGTCACTATGGATCAAGAATCTCAACGGCGTCTCCCGACTGATGCAGTCCCGGCTGCTCGCGACGAGAGACTGGGTAGGAACGATAGTGGCGGTGCTGCTGACAACAGGTCGAATACGAGAGATTGCAGCGACATTGGCATTGACATTGATGATCATGCGATTGCTGCTGCTCTCCAGGAGGAGTATTCAGCAGCGGAAGCGAGATCGTCGCTTCATCAAGACCGTAGAGTCCCTCCTGAGCCTGTTTCTGAAGATCACTCCATAGCAGCGAAAACGAAGGGGAAGAGTATTGGAGATTCTGAATCTCAGTCGTCGGCTCAACCTGAAGCTCCTGCAGCAGATTCGGACGATCACGCCATAGCAGCGGCGCTACAGGAGGAGGAGGAGCACCTAGCAAAAGAAACGAAGGGGAAGAGCAGAGGAGAGGCTGCATCTCAGCCGTCGATCCAAACAGAATCGCCTGCAGCAGATTCGGACGATCACGCCATAGCAGCAGCGCTACAGGAGGAGTTTCTCAAGGAAGCGGAATCCGAAGCAGCAGGTTCGGGTTCCGCAGGTTCGGGTTCGGCAACAGGGTCGTGGTTGGGAGGCGCGGAGGATTGGCTCCGGGGCCTGTTCCCGACCCTGCCTGGGCGGGGAGAAGGCGGGCAAGGGAGGCTGTCCAGGGGGGATGCACCTGGACATGAGAGGGCTAGCAAGGGCTTGTCCCCTCCTACCCGGCGAAATTTGCCTGGAGGAAGGAATCCGCAAGCAAAGGGGACTTCGCCAGTCAGAGGGGTTTCGCCGAAGGGGGTTTCGCCAGCACGGGGATTTTCGCCAGCAAAGAGGTTTCAGGCGGGCAAAGGACGGTCCCCAGTTAGGGGAGTTTCACCCATGCGGTGGCTGGCTCCTGTGGTGCGGACACGGGAACCAGAGACTAAGGATGCAGTCAGGGATCCCGCACCACAAGCAACACCAGCAGCAGCATCGGCCCATTTGCTTGCTGAGCTGAACTCCAGTGATAAATCAAGCCCGTTGATTGGCCCTCCTGACAGCCAATCCAGCCCGTCCATTGCCCCTCCTGAAAGTCAATCCAGCCCTTTTATTACCCCCGCTGAAAGACAATCAAGCCCGTCCATCTTCCCCATTGAAAGTCAATCCAGTCCGTGGATTGGCCCTGGCACTGCCCCTGAACCCATTTCCCTCACTAGGTCGTTATCAGACCCCGCTGAAGTCACACTCGCGTACAGTCACATCCAGGCAGGGCACACCGCTTCTCCTGGTGGTTATGAAGCGGGGAACATGCTTACTGTGTCGCCAGAGAATGCCCTGTGGGTGAAACCCTCGTTACAGTCAACCCCTGTACAGTCTCCCCGTGTTTCGTCTCCTGGGAATATATTGGGCTCTTCTGAAGTTAGGCTGAAATCTCCTGGAGCTCTGTTG